AGGCGGGATCTTCTCCATACCACCCTTTCAGATTTTGAGGGGAGGGCAGCAGGTCGTATGTGGCTCTGATAACAAAACTCAGCCGCGCTCCATCCATCTGCCAGATGTCATGCCAGCTGAGCTTTTTCTTCTCCAGGCCCTCCCAGTTGGTCCATTTCCCCTGCTTGGCCATTGAGACGGCTTTGGCATATCGCTCACCCTCCTCCTGTCTCCTGACTTCTTCTACCACTAGCTGTCTCTTCTGCACTGATGTTGCTTTGTGCCACAGAGGAGTTTTTGGGATGAGTCCGAACCCTGCCCTCCCATGCTGTACTTGTCCAACCACATCTCTGAAGTGAAGCGCAGACTTTACACTCTGAACAGCTTCCGATGGAGTCCACTTCCTTCCCGCTACCACCCGGGGGGCCGCTGTTCGAATGACTGCATCCTCAGATTCAGTTAGGGTCATGACGAGCCTTGCCTTGGTACATTTGAACTCTTCCACGAGCCCTGTAATAGATAATTCCAACTTGCCATGTCCATAAAGTCCAACGGAACTTAAACAATGTGGAATTCCAAGCCACTGCTTCAGCTGTATGCTTATCAGCCGTTCCAACTTTTCAACTTTGGTGATGGGGATCTCATACACAGTTAACATCTTGGGAATATGCCAAACTGAAAGCACCACAACTTGAGTTTTCCTGGTAACAATGTCTTGTTAATGCTCTCCATGTACATGCTGGTATAATTTTTTAGATGTTCAAACTGCTCGGTGTCTTTGAGTTTCGCATCATACCATCTCCCCAAGCTCTTTACTGGCATTTCTGAGACAGTTGGGACGGGTGTTCCGCCGACATAAAATCTTTGGTCTGTGACTTGGCCTTTCACGATGGAGATACTTCTGCACTTACTGGGCTTTAACTTCATCCTCGCCCATGTTATATTTTGATGAAGTTTCTCCAGCAGTCTCTTGGTGCAGGGGACAGTTGTTGTGAGTGTTGTTAGATCGTCCATATAGGCTCGAATTGGTGGTAACCTCTGATTACATTGTAGTCGTTCTCCTCCCACGACCCATTTTGAGGCTCTGATAATAATCTCCATTGCCATCGTAAAGGCCAATGGGGAGATGGTGCACCCCGCCATGATGCCTACCTCCAGCGGTTGCTTTTTTCACTGCCTGCTTCACCTCGCTCAGCTTGGGAGGGATGTCAGTGGGGACAACGATCGGTTCATCTTTTTTTCCATCAGTATAGATGGTTCTCAAATGCTCTTCAACCTGATCTTTTGATGTTTTCAGGGATCCACTCTTCTCCTTTGTGAATATACCTTTCACAAACTTAAAAGGGTCTTTATAGAAATCGGTTCTGGCTTTTTCTTTCTTCTTCCGACGCATCCGTAGGCTTTCTGCTCGACGAAGTTTTGAGAGCCTGTGCTTTAGGTCCTCTTGAAGGAAGTTAATGCCTTCCCTTTCTTCTACTGTCGCCTTTCTCCACAACTTTCTTAGCCGTCGCCTCTCTTTCACAAGTTGTTGAATTTTTTGCAGCCGACGGGACTTGGGGGCGGGAAGCATGTCTTTCTTTCTTACTTGCTCCTTCACTCCACATTTCTCCTCTCCGTAGCTGTAGATAAGGTCGCCCATCTTCTCCAGCTTCTTCTCGGCTGATCCTTTGATGTTACTTAGGATAAGGCTTAAGTCTGTGTTGATGGTTTCCCACTCTTTGCTGTTAGACTTCAGCCATTTCACCAACGGCTTACATCCTTGCATGTTTTCTTTTTTGCGGTGGGCTGGTTGTTGTCTTGGACTGGTGGTTCTGCCTGAAGCTTCCTCCTCAATCCCTGGGGTGCTGATTCTCTGCGGACTGTGGGTTTCTTCCTGCCGCTGAGTTTCATCCGACTGATTTAACCTTTTCCTTGACAGACAGGGCCCTGGGTTGGTGGTTTTTAGGCATTTCTTCCGTCCTTGATGTATCTTAAGACCATGGGTTGATGTTACTTTCGCCCATCCACACACGCAAGTCTGAAGAACATGTCCAGCTACTAATTTCTCAAGAGTCTTGCTACTTCCTTCTTTCGATGTCATGTCCATTCCAAGAGTCAAAGAATCAAATACATTAACATTTGCTGAAAACATCCACAAAGTGAGAAAATTCAAATCACATTCCATTATTGTTGCAGAGAAAAGCACTGAATAGTTAGAGTTATGCACCCAGGAGCTTTTCTGGGGAGTGTTAGATTTCTCTGTTCCTCTTTCTCTCAGTCTTCATACAGTCATCTCAGCAGCTGGGGAGAAGCACGTTTATTACTGACAGCAAATCAGTGTGTCAGAAAAAGTGGCGACCCGTGTAAGATAGCGCTAATGGTTATCCATCGGCTGAGAGATTCATGGTGTAGGAGCACAGCACAGCAGCACAGGCTTTAATAAATACTGTGCGTATTGTGAAAGCAGGCACTCGTTTGAGGAACCAGACCCCTGGGAGCCGTTGGATCACTTATTGAGCATGTGGATTAAATGATCGGGCTTTCTACCTTTAACGCATATGAAAAAAACAATTCATAAAGCTGTCATAAAGGCCATATGACCTTGGTGCTAACCTGTAAAATAAAGAAGGGAATGTGCCTGCAAGACTCGATTTATTACATTCAAATATTAACAGCCAGGGGACAAAACTGATTTCAAGCCAGTTATGATTCATATGAGAGTCTACCAGGAGACGCTGTGGTGCAAGTAGCCGTGCCGATCACTATAGAAGTAAAACTCAATTCTTTGCATTGCGACTTTGGCCAGCAAATCTTACATAGCTCATTAAACCAGGAATAGAATCTCACTGCAGCCTTAAATTCATTGGTGCATAAATAAAATAAAATATAATATAAAACAATAAAATAAAATAATAAAAAATATAAAATAAAATCATTTAACTAAATTCTACACAATTACATTTTTTTTTCATTAAATTAACTGACAAAGCAATTTTTACACTTTTTGCTACTGTGACTTAAACTAGAAAACACAAAGCCATGTTTCTCACGGCTCTTTCATGACACATCTGCCTGTGCTGTCATAACCAGTGGGATCGGCAGGAGTCTTGGGGGAAGGTTAAACACTTTTTTCCAGCCTTATGATGTAAGGGATGTTACTGAGAGTATGTGAGGGCATTACAGAAAACTGAACACAACAAAGTCAACCGTGTCCTCGAGACAGACACGCAGTTTGATTGTAGACGCACGTGAAACACGACACAAATATTCACAGTTTGACCCAAAAACCATGCATCTGAGCTTTCCGAGTATACTCATTTGTTATTCCTGGGTGATGTATGACGCACCGAGGCTGGAAACGCTTAGTAAAAAAATAGATTTCTTCCCGACGCCAGCAGTGCAGGTTTTGTTGAACTCCTGAGAGAGCTGAACAACACTGATGCTGTTTTCTCTGAGTTCGCAGCCTCTCTTTAGCAAAGATCACACTGAATTTGCCCTTTGACCTGTGGGACATTAGGCAAGTTCTCACAAGACAGATTTGAGCCCCAGGAGCTTGAGAATTAATTAGTATTGATATGGCGCTACTAAAGTAAAGAAGATCATTGTCACCTGGGGGTGCCGGTTTGCTAAAAACTACTTTTTAAAAATCCAAGTTTTCCAATATTAATATAAATCCTGTATTCCTGTATCCTATTTATTAAAAGCCACAAAAAGTCCACAAAATATAGTATTACATAAGACACATGCTAACCTAATGAACTGAAGACCAAAATATCACAACTATCCAGATAAACAGATAAAAACGGAGTGCAATTACACAGAAAGTGCAATTTTACTTCAATCACAGGCCCTTACTGAGATGCAAAAGTACTTTGCAGTTTGATTCTGTGTGTATGTGTGTTACATAGACATATTTTCCCCTGAGGTCTGCGTTTAAGACTCAAATTGTACAACCTTTCAGTTGCTTGGCCAACAATCCTGTCAGCGTTTCTTTTGTTTAACTGTTGTCTTATACATGAGCCAGATGACAAGAGTATTTATTAAGGTCCTTTTCTTTCATAGCAGCCAACTGTTGGCAGAACGTTATTGATTTGTCCTTTCTTGGAAAAGCATTCATTAACTAAACTTACTGTTAGTCTCTGTCTCCATTAAGAGACAATGGGACTGTATAGGAGACAGTCAGGGAATGATGGGAATATACTGAAGCTACAGCAAAAATACTGACTCGCAGATAATTTGTTTAAATAATAATTTAAAAAGTGTGAATGATTACTAAAGACTGAATACATATGAATACACATTTTTAATCTGTGTACTGAATGCATGTACACTACCATTCAAAAGTAATAAAAAAAAAATATAAAAAATTATACTTTTATTAAAAAAAGAATGCATTAAATTTGATTTAAAAAAGCTGATTAAAATGTGATAGCAAAGGCATTTATAATATTACAAAACATTCATAATTCAAATAAATGCTGTTCTTTTGAACTTTCTGTTCATTAAAGAATCCTGAAACAAAAATGTTTCACAGTTTCCACAAAAGTATTAAGCAGCACAACTTTTTTCAACATTGATAATAATAATAAAAAAAGACCCTTGAGCAGCAAATCAGCATATCAGAATGATTTCTGAAGGATCATGTGACACTGAAGACTGAAGTAAAGATGCTGAAAATTCAGCTTTACATCACAGAAATAAATTACATTTTAAAATATATTAAAATAGAAAATAGCAATTTTAAATTGTAATAAAAATTCACAATATTACAGTATTTTAACTGTGTAAATGCAGCCTTTGCGAACACAAGATATTTCTTTAAAATACATTTTAAGAAATATTACCAAACCCCACATTTTTGAACGGTAGTGTGTATTCAGTTAAAAAAAATAAAAATAAATAAAAAACGCCTTTTGATTGAAATGCAAAACAACCAATTACTGCTTTTTGTATGTGACATGTATGAGCAAATCTAAAATCGATGACACCACAATAATACACTTCTTGTGAAATATAATAACCCTGCTGTGGATAGAGTTTACCTTTACTCTGCTCTGCTCCAGAGCGTTCTCCATTTCCTGTTTGGCAGCCGCTGTTTCCTGTTGATGGGTTTGACGCATATGTTCAATGGCTGATGCGTGAAGATGGTTCAGCTCTGAACGCAGGGATGCTGAGAGGAGAACAAGAGAAAGAGAGAGACATAGGGAATGAAAAACAGGACTATTTCAGGGAGATGATCTGCTGTCTGGAGCTGAATAAAAAATCATTCATCTCCAACTCTCCCTAAAGCATAAACGTCACAGGTGGAAATGGAAGTAACACTCGTTCCTCCATCTGCAATTTCCTGTCAGCACTCCCTCATTATGCTCCTTTCCAGTTTCTTCCATTTATGCCTTATTTCGATGAGATTGAGCTATAATTAGAGCTGTAGAACTCTGCTGGTTTTGCTTCAGGACTCTGAGGTTTTACATTCAACATCTAGTACCAACACTGCTTGGTGTACAAAGAAAATGTATTACCATTTATTAATATTACCAACAAAATGCTAAATTATTAACATGGCATAGGACGAATAAGGAAGCCATTTTATTTCCAATTGTCTCTTTTTATTGTCCAGTGTTTATTGTGCAGTCAACAAGCCATTTAACAAAATGATGCAAAATGTAAATTATTTACTATATTATTTCTTATTTTTCCCCAGCTCCATGAAACCAAATCATGAGATATATCCAGATATATGGCACATTTTTTTTGTGAGTTTGAGCATAAATTGGAGCATAACCGAGCAACTTTAATAAAATTTTAATAAAACTGAATAAATTACATTTTAATTTGAACTTTGTAAATCATGCAGTGTTGGGCCACATCATATTTCCAGATTTTCCAGTTGAGACTGACACACACACACACACACACACACACACACACACACACACACACACACAAAATATTTTTAATTTCCTGAAATATTGGACTCCTAAGATACAAAAGAGATGCTGTTTGGTCATATCAGTTAAAATAAAATAAAATAAAATTAAAATAATAAAGTTAAAAAACCCATCCAATGTTGTTCTTTATTTTTTTGTAGAATAAAATTATTCTTCTCTTTTGATTAAGTAAAGCAAAATGTTATGTACTTTATGAGAACCAAGTACACTCTTTTAGGAGAGTTGAATAATAATAATAATAATAATAATAATAATATTATTATATATATAAAAAAACACATTGATCCAACCTGATTATATATTGATATCATATTAAAATGAGCTTTGGAAATGTATTTCAGTCTAAACAGGCATTTTAATTTGGGTTTCTTTAGGCAGTGGCAAAATGGATAGCTTTTTGTAGAGCCTGACCGATATGGGTTTCTTGGGGGCCGATCCCGTTACCGATTTTAGGGAGTAAAAAAAGGCTGATATCGATATATCGGCTGATATTCTTTGTTTTTATTATAGTACAGTACCAGTCAAAAGTTTGGACACTTTCCCATTTATGTGTCCAAACTTTTGACTGGTACTATATATAGAATACAGTATATACATAAACAGAATATATATATACATAAACACATTTTTTGCAATGATCACTCAAATGTGGTGATCAAACACTTTTAATGATGTGACAGAGATACGTAATGGAGGCAGGGCATTTATCAATTTAACAATAAACTTTATTATCCAAAATGAGTTTGACATCAGTGCACTGAACAGTAAAGCTGAAGTTTATTTAACTTTATTTCAATTAAATTCCATTCAACTTTATTCCGTTGAAGTTTATTTCACTTCTGAACATTCATTCACGGATTTGCGCTACTGTCTTCACACACAGACGAAACTTACTAGAGAAGTGTGAAGTGTGATATAATATACCTCTGTAAATAAATACAATTTAAATTCTCGTCTCACGCACTTTAATGCCCTTTGAATGTAACGTGTACATTCCCTTGGAACTGGAATCATGGCGGAATATCATGTGAAGTCCACTTCGCAGGGCACTTACGGTCGAATAAATCAATGCTTGAATGCTGCTGCCTGAACAAGAGACCTCCTTACTGAAGTGAAAGTGTTGGCCAGATCGGTCGGCGCCCGGCCGCGAATTTAACCGCCCGTAACTCCCGGACCCCGGGGGCTATCGACGCGGGGGTGGTCTCATTGAAAGGGGGCCTTGAGACTCGGCATTCGAGGGATCCCCGAATTTGGTGCGGATCCACTGTGCCGCTACGGAGATATGGCCGTTCAAAGATTCAATGGTATTCCATACACTTAAGCTTTAAAGCATTTCATCCAGGTCACCAGCAGCAAACAATGGAGCGCGCTCTGCTGGACAAACTATGTAATTACACCATTTACAAGCATTTTATCTGCGTTTTATGTTCTGTAACTTTCTGTTAATGTTCATATCGGTGGCATATCAGCGGCATATTCGCCGATACGATATATCTGCGACAGGCTCATATCGGACGATAAAATCGGCAAAACGATATATCGGTTGGGCTCTAGCGTTTTGATCTTTTTTCATCATGACAGCTACACTTTTGCTGCCACATAAGCCATTACTATGGAAACCAATATAGATATTACAGATATTGACTCTATTGTCTCAGCAATTGGATCTGAATTCACCACTCACAAAATGACAGATGACAGTGTAGACATTCAGTCCTAAAGACTGCATTTGACCTAGAGTAAATAATAACAGGTTCTGAAGGGTTTATACAGCAGGTCTGTGAATGAATGTATGTCTGTTTTACCCAGCATGGCCTTGCCCTCATCCTCCAGTTCGAAGCGGAGGGTCTGCAGCTCTTGCTCTGACTGCTGTTTCAGAGTCTCGATGTTCTGCCTGTGAGCCTCTCGCAGAGCCTGAAGCTCCATGTGGTGCTGCTGCCGTAGACGCTCCTCAAGCTCCTACACACACACACACACACACACACACACACACACACACCCACCAGCTCATTAGAGGTGACAAATGTACAATCTACATAAACAGTATATTTGACTTAGGAAAATATACTGATGCTTCTTTCAAAAAAATAAGGCATTGCCTTTCCAGGACATCTTGTATATGTGGGGCCCCACATCAATCACATCCCCCACATCAAAGGGGGATGAAAAATCAAAGCAAGAAAATGAAAAATCATTGAAATTTTTTTCTTGCCTATTTTTGCTGCTACACACAACAGAAAAATAAATAATGTAAGAACTTGACTCAAGGAGAAACTTCAGAAATGTTTTACTTTGCCCTTCAGGGCCTTTGTACAAAACAGTTTGACATTCAGTCTGCTTGCAGTAAAACTGACAAAAAAAATAAAATTATTTAAATATATATATGGTAAGCATAAACCTGGATAGAGGACTAGATGCTCAAAAGTCAAAAGACAAAAACATCACTTGGAAAAACAACAAAACCAGTAAGAAAAAATCTGCGTGAGAACGTAAAAAAAGTGGAAGGCATGTTGAATTGTAGTTAAATATGTTAGCTAACAGAAAAATAAACAAAAAATATTATTTTATATATAAAATCTAACTTATACATATATACTGTATATGGGCCATTCCCACAACCAAAAAACACATTTAAAAAGCATTTAAGTATTCAGATCTTCAGATGTTTACTAAGATCCTTCTATTATGTATTGAAACAAACAATATTTAAAATATATTTAATAATATTTAATACATCATTTATTGGGAACTTTCAATTGGGAGGTGGCTTTCCCGAACCCTAACCCCTAAATTTCAACTTGAAAAATGATTTTTGTATTTTTTTCCATTGTTATTTTTAAAAGTATCTTTTTGATTATTTTAAAAGGTGATGTTCAAAAAAAATCTTTATTTTATATTTTCTTTGTAATTTGAATATGAGAATTAACTGCACAATTACTAGAAATGTGTACATTGGATATTATACAATTTTCATACATACAAATTGTTTGGAAAAATATTTTTTTCCCCCCAGCATTTACAACTCTGACTTTGGACCAATTCTATAGAATTCTGTATGAATGGACCAGAACCTCATGAAATTCATACTAGTCTAAGCAGGTCTTTTCATCAAGGTGAATCAGAATTGCAACAGGTGCACTTGCAAAATATGCATAACAGGCATCAAAAGAAAGCAGCACTTAGCCAGGAACACAGGTATAAATGTGGCGTATTTCTCAAACAACTGTCAATCACAGGAATTATTACTCTATCAGAAGGCACTTAAGCATCTCCGCAAGCTTGTTAAGGATCTTGAATGGTTGCCGTCTAGCGCCCAGCCAGAGGAATGCAAATTACAGCCCCCTGAATTAGATTAAGAGAATGGAGCTGTTTGAGCGCTGGAAATACACTGACATAATGAGGGGTAATGCAGGGCACCTGCCTCCACTGAAAGCCACTTTAGAGTCAGTGATATCCAGCAGAGTGGGGTGCGGATGCGAGAGGAAGTGGGTTAGGGAATGACAGGGAACACAAATTAGACCAACCGCTTCAGTAAACACAGACTGCACCAAGCCAGTTGGCAGAACCATGCTGGAACTGAGCCGTTTTAATGCGGGGATCAAAATAAAACAACTGATGGGGAAGATCAACAGAGATGAACTGAGACACAAAAAAAACATACCACATGGTCTTGAAGAGATTTGTTCAATATGACTTATTTAAAACAATACAGTCCTGAGAGGATTACAAACAAGAAAGAAAGAAAATATATATATATAAATATAATATATAAAACCATCTATAAATAAACAGACATTTACTTTACCATTCTTCTCCTCACCTCTTCACCTCTCAAGCTCTGTCAGGTTGGATGGGGGCAGACGCACATTTTCAGGTTTCTGCAGAAATATTTGATTGGGTTCAATCCCAGGCTGTGGCTGGGCCACTCAAGCACATTTACAGGGTTGTCTATAAGCCACTCTTGCTTTGTTTAGGTTCATTGTCCTGTTGGAAGGTGAACCTTCTGCCCAGTCTGAGGTTCTGAATGCCCTGATCTGGGTTTTCATTAAGGCTATCTCAATATTTTGGTGCATTGAGCTTTTCTTCTACTCTGACGAGTCCCTCAGTCCCTGTCGCTGAAAAACAGCCCACAGCACGAGGCTGCTACCAGCACACTTTACGTTTAGGATGGTACTCTGCAGGTGATGAGCAGTGCCTGGTTTCCTTCAAACATGATGCTTGGAATTGAGGTTCATTAGACCAGATAATATTGTTTCTCACAGTCTGATGGTCCTTTAGGTGCTGTTTTACAAATTCCAAGTGTGTTCACTGAGGAGAGGATTGAGTTTTGCCACACCGCCATAAAGCCCAGATCAGTGGAGTGTTGCAGCGATGTTTGTCATTTCTCCTATCTCCACAAATGATCATGGATCTCAACTAGAGTGACCATCAGCTTCTTGGTCACCACTCTAACCAAAGCCCTTATCAGTTTGCTCTGATAAGCATTATCAGCTGTTAAACATCTATTAAGATGTGTGTGCCTTTCCAAATCATACCCATTCGACTGAATTTGCCACAGGTTAACTTCACTCGAAGTGTAGTAATATCTACAAGCAATATGAATGCTCCTGAGCTAAATTTCATCTGTCCCAGATATGGGTATGAGTACTTATGTAATGGAATCATTGAAGTTTTTTTTTTTATCATTATGGAGTGTAGATTGATATATATATATACAGCATATATATATATGGACACTTTTGCAATATATTTATTTATATAAACTTCTATAGAAAAGAAAAGAGAAATGACAAGAAATTATGATGGTGAAAAAGTGGGATTGCAAGGAAGAAATGTTTTGAGCTGGATTTGTGAAAGCATGTGATCTACGCTATGCCACAGGTTCAAAGTATCTTTCCCAAGCTCTGTTCCAAATCGTGAGATGGTAACTTACAGTACAGCATTCATTTCACCCAATATTTATGTGTGCTAGTATCTTCTATCAGCTAGGCAGTAGCCAGAAAGGCAGCTCACATATTTTTGAAACAGAGAATTAATGTTGGCTGATGATACCAGAAATATTCAGTGACAATTTTGCTTATACTCGTTAACTAATGAATCATTGAAGTTCCATATTGTGTGGAGTGTGTTGCTGACACATCTTTTGCTAGCTAAAGAAATATCATGCATCAAACGGCTGTGGTGTCAGTTCTGCGAGTTTATGTTTTCTCCAGAGTAAGCCAACTCCTCCAGCAGCCCAATGGCTCGGTAAAACTGAAAAGGTCAGGTCATTTCCGTCATTCAGACAACTATCAGAGACAACAGCGGCCTGAGTTGCAACACACACACACACACACACACACACACACACACTTGAGAAAAACATCTACAGAAGGATGCTTTTAATCTGAATGACTACAGCAGTCACACACACACAAATGCAGAGTTGTGATGTTTATTCCACACATTTCTTCCCACTCTAATGTCATAGTGCCATTTTCACCTCCTCAAGGGCTACGAGGATGATGCCACATTCCTTATGTGGAAATGAATCTGGAGTGGGAAAAATTACACTTCGCTTCTTTTCCTGCCAATAAAGCTTGTGCATTAATTAGTGAGTTATTTTAGGATTCAACACTCACACGGTTTTCAGATAAATGAGAGAATCCCCCTCAAATACTGAAGTACAGAAAACAACCCACTATAAAGGCAAAGGTTTATACTGATAACGGTTATATTGACAGCACTTTATATTGATAGCTTGAAGTGTTAAATAAGTGTAACAATTTACATTGATATCAGTGTTGTTATCCTTAAAAAACATTACAACCATATTAAAACACTTCTGTTAATTGAAATGAAGTTAAAATAAAACAAATATTACAGGAAAAACTTAGTAAACACATTAGAAATGTTGCCTTTAAGTTAAAACACTAAAATTACAAATTGAAATAAAAATAAAACTGCAGTATTTAGAAACAAACAAAAACGGCAAAAGCACAAACAATTACAAAAAATATTTACACAGTTTATTACAAACAATGAAAACATAAAAATAAAAGTGAATTCAAAACACTAATAAAAACTATAATAGATACTAAAAATGATGCTAAAATATCACTGCATTAATGATGTTAAAAGTATCACAGTACTACAATTATTGTATCATGGCTAAGGGGTGTTTTTGGACATGGACATAGACATAGACACACACAATAATAATAATAATAATGGATTATGATTATTATAAATTAATTTTTTAAATTTTTAATTAATTAAATTATGATTAATTATGTTTTCTGATAAAACTAATAAAACCTCTTATTAATAATAGCAACAACAAAAACAAACAAATTAATGAATGAATGAACTATGGCACACTATGGGTGTGCCTGTGTGTTTTTATTGGCAAGGAAGAACACAATTCTCTAGAATTTCTTAGTTTGCTCTAGTATAAAATTAACCACAGTGCTATTACTATTAATAGCCACAAATAAGTAAATAAATACATATTATTTATTACTGGCAAGGAAGTACAGAATATTCTAGAATTTCGGTGTATGCTCTAGTATAAAAATGAATCTCAAACACCTAAAGGATGAAAAATAAAAGTAGGTTTGAGAAACCCTTAGAATATATCCAAAGGAATATACTAGAGGCTGTAGAGGGAAAACTGTGTGATCAATACCAGTGAAAGGTGGCTATAACCCAGTATAAGAGCTCTGCAATGCCTCACCACTGCCCTATGGCCAGGTGAGGCAGGATATAAAACGTCTCTCTCATGCCTTCTCAAACTAGATTTATTTAGCTTTGGTAGGCACTTAATGTAGTTTACCCCCTCATAAAAGATCTGGAAACCGGCTATCTGTTTCCATTCCAGCAGTTTTTATGATGCTTTGAGTCAGGACTACTCAACTTTGGAAAAGCTCAAGGACCACAAAACAGCTTTCTTTTTAGACTTGCCAAACTTTCACAGTAAT